GCAACACCTCATATGCCCTTACATTCTTGCATGCCCGCACCCCATGCATGCTCACACATATGTTAAGCGCACCCCTCACACGCGTCACATTTATATTATATATGTGCACTCCTCACAGACGTTTACACTTTTGCACGCGAGCACACTCCCTTGCATAATCTTACCTGGCACACCTCCAAGCCACGTGCACTCAACGTGCAGGCATTCACACGCTCTAGCGCATACCCATGGCCCTGGGGAGGGCGGATCCTCTCCCTGAGCTGGGAAGAGGGGCAGTGAGCCAGCAGCTCACAGGCTTAACGCTTGCCCCGCAATCAACATCTTTCTGGCCTCCCCGGTGGTATCCCAGGCGCCAGCCCCAACCAGAACTCTGCAGCCTACCAGCCGCTGGTGTGGTTCTGGATCCTGCTCGGCCTGGCCTACTTCGCCTCAGTCCTCACCACCATCGGGAACTGGCTTCGAGTAGTGTCCCGGCGCACTCGGGCAGAGGTAGGCGCGCCCCTGGGTCTGCGCTGCGCTTGCGCCGTGGCGCTGAAGCGCTGTACCTAGCAGCGGGCTGACCCGTTGGCCTCCCTTCCAGAGCGTGGGCTTCTCCAGGGACAGAGGGTTACATTTGGGCCGGCTTGCTGGTGACTCCATCTCTGCTCTCTTGGATAGGGTTGCCTGGTTTAGAAACAAACCAAAACAAAACAAAAAGCAGGAAGCCCAGTTAAATGTAAATTTCACATACCTAACAATAGGCGTGTCCCAAATAGTGCATGGGAGGGATATACACCTATCAACATTTACTTTGTCGTTTACCCAAATTCACATTTAACTGGGCGACCGGTATTGTGTCACCTTACTGGCTGAGCCGGCAGAGGAGCCGGATAAGAGACGCAAAGGTCTCTGGGGGGCACCGGAAGGATGGCTGAAACACAGCTGGGGCTTTCTAGAAAAGCTCCTGGAGAAGAGGGCTCTTAGGTTCCGATGGAGGAGAGGAGAGTGGGTAGCTGGGTTAGCCTTTTCTCTCGCTCGGGAGGGCTGAGGCAGGAGGACCAGGAGGA